TACAGGACTAAAGATTATTTTCTAAACTTTGTTTTAAAGAATACATTTCTGAGATGGAAATATTTTTTCGTCCGAATATTCGATAATTTTGACACCACACTTGATATTTGATATGTAATGCTTCGTTTTAGGTACTATATACAATGTAACATATTGCTTATCATTGAAAATCGAATATTAAACGCCCCAAATATCAAGTGATGCGCGTTTATTAAGAATTCGGTGAGATGAAGTACAGGATTCTGTATGAGTACTTTTAGGCTGCCAAAGTGTTGTTTAACTGCCAAAGTGTTGTTTAACTGCCAAAGTGTTGTTTAACTGCCAAAGTGTAGAAACACATCCAAAAGCCGTTTTGTTTCACACAGAGTTAAAAATATATTTATATAAGCTTTCGAACAACTTCGCAGGAAACTTCCAATTGTATCAACTGGTGACATTAATTACTCTACATTTCTTCATCATCATCTTCCGACCTAATCGTTTTTCTAAATGAAGTTTTGATTGCAAATAAAAATCATTAAAGAAATTATAAATAATAAGAAAGTCTATTACAATAAACCCAAGATTCCTATTGTACATCATAAAACCAGCGTCGTGATCTTAACCTGTGGTTTGTTTTTCTCTTGATGGTCATTTATCTTGATACAATCTCTTCTCTTATGGTTCACATAAATAGCGATGATGCTTGTAAGCATACAGACACACAATAAAGATACAGCAGTAAGTTTATAGACTCTGAATTCATTGATTGGTAATAGAAACTTATATCTGTCCATACAGACACACCATAATAATACAGAAGTAAGTTATATAGACTCTTAATTCATTGATCGGTAATAGAAACTTATATATGTCCATACAGACACACTATAAAGATACAGCAGTAAGTTATATAGACTCTGAATTCATTGATTGGTAATCGAAACTTATATCTGTCCATACAGACACACCATAATAATAAAGAAGTGAGTTATATAGACTCTGAATTCATTGATTGGTAATGGAAACTTATATCTGTCCATACAGACACACCATAATAATACAGAAGTAAGTTATATAGACTCTGAATTCATTGATTGGTAATCGAAACTTATATATCTCCATACAGACACACTATAAAGATATAGCAGTAAGTTATTTAGACTCTGAATTCATTGATTGGTAATAGAAACTTTTATATGTCCATACAGAAACACTATAAAGATACAGCAGTAATTATTTAGACTCTGAATTCATTGATTGGTAATAGAAACCTATATATGTCCATACAGACACACTATAATGATATAGTAGTAAGTTATATAGACTCTGAATTCATTGATTGGTAATAGAAACTTATATATGTCCATACAGACACACTATAAAGATACAGCAGTAAGTTATATAGACTCTGAATTCATTGATTGGTAATAGAAACTTATATATGTCCATACAGACACACTATAAAGATACAGCAGTAAGTTATATAGACTCTGAATTCATTGATTGGTAATAGAAACTTATATATGTCCATACAGACACACTATAAAGATACAGCAGTAAGTTATATAGACTCTGAATTCATTGATTGGTAATAAAAAACTTATATCTGTCCATACAGACACACTATAATGATACAGCAGTAAGTTATATAGACTCTGAATTCATTGATTGGTAATAAAAACTTGTAAATGTCCATACAGACACACTATAAAGCAACAGCAGTAAGTTATATAGACTTTGAATTCATTGATTGGTAATAAAAACTTATATATGTCCATACAGACACACTATAAAGATACAGCAGTAAGTTATATAGACTCTGAATTCATTGATTGGTAATAAAAAACTTATATCTGTCCATACAGACACACTATAATGATACAGCAGTAAGTTATATAGACTCTGAATTCATTGATTGGTAATAAAAACTTGTAAATGTCCATACAGACACACTATAAAGCAACAGCAGTAAGTTATATAGACTTTGAATTCATTGATTGGTAATAAAAACTTATATATGTCCATACAGACACACTATAAAGATACAGCAGTAAGTTATATAGACTCTGAATTCATTGATTGGTAATAAAAAACTTATATCTGTCCATACAGACACACTATAATGATACAGCAGTAAGTTATATAGACTCTGAATTCATTGATTGGTAATAAAAACTTGTAAATGTCCATACAGACACACTATAAAGCAACAGCAGTAAGTTATATAGACTTTGAATTCATTGATTGGTAATAAAAACTTATATATGTCCATACAGACACACTATAAAGATACAGCAGTAAGTTATATAGACTCTGAATTCATTGATTGGTAATAAAAAACTTATATCTGTCCATACAGACACACTATAATGATACAGCAGTAAGTTATATAGACTCTGAATTCATTGATTGGTAATAAAAACTTGTAAATGTCCATACAGACACACTATAAAGCAACAGCAGTAAGTTATATAGACTTTGAATTCATTGATTGGTAATAAAAACTTATATATGTCCATACAGACACACTATAAAGATACAGCAGTAAGTTATATAGACTCTGAATTCATTGATTGGTAATAAAAAACTTATATCTGTCCATACAGACACACTATAATGATACAGCAGTAAGTTATATAGACTCTGAATTCATTGATTGGTAATAAAAACTTGTAAATGTCCATACAGACACACTATAAAGCAACAGCAGTAAGTTATATAGACTTTGAATTCATTGATTGGTAATAAAAACTTATATATGTCCATACAGACACACTATAAAGATACAGCAGTAAGTTATATAGACTCTGAATTCATTGATTGGTAATAAAAAACTTATATCTGTCCATACAGACACACTATAATGATACAGCAGTAAGTTATATAGACTCTGAATTCATTGATTGGTAATAAAAACTTGTAAATGTCCATACAGACACACTATAAAGCAACAGCAGTAAGTTATATAGACTTTGAATTCATTGATTGGTAATAAAAACTTATATATGTCCATACAGACACACTATAAAGATACAGCAGTAAGTTATATAGACTCTGAATTCATTGATTGGTAATAAAAAACTTATATCTGTCCATACAGACACACTATAATGATACAGCAGTAAGTTATATAGACTCTGAATTCATTGATTGGTAATAAAAACTTGTAAATGTCCATACAGACACACTATAAAGCAACAGCAGTAAGTTATATAGACTTTGAATTCATTGATTGGTAATAAAAACTTATATATGTCCATACAGACACACTATAAAGATACAGCAGTAAGTTATATAGACTCTGAATTCATTGATTGGTAATAAAAAACTTATATCTGTCCATACAGACACACTATAATGATACAGCAGTAAGTTATATAGACTCTGAATTCATTGATTGGTAATAAAAACTTGTAAATGTCCATACAGACACACTATAAAGCAACAGCAGTAAGTTATATAGACTTTGAATTCATTGATTGGTAATAAAAACTTATATATGTCCATACAGACACACTATAAAGATACAGCAGTAAGTTATATAGACTCTGAATTCATTGATTGGTAATAAAAAACTTATATCTGTCCATACAGACACACTATAATGATACAGCAGTAAGTTATATAGACTCTGAATTCATTGATTGGTAATAAAAACTTGTAAATGTCCATACAGACACACTATAAAGCAACAGCAGTAAGTTATATAGACTTTGAATTCATTGATTGGTAATAAAAACTTATATATGTCCATACAGACACACTATAAAGATACAGCAGTAAGTTATATAGACTCTGAATTCATTGATTGGTAATAAAAAACTTATATCTGTCCATACAGACACACTATAATGATACAGCAGTAAGTTATATAGACTCTGAATTCATTGATTGGTAATAAAAACTTGTAAATGTCCATACAGACACACTATAAAGCAACAGCAGTAAGTTATATAGACTTTGAATTCATTGATTGGTAATAAAAACTTATATATGTCCATACAGACACACTATAAAGATACAGCAGTAAGTTATATAGACTCTGAATTCATTGATTGGTAATAAAAAACTTATATCTGTCCATACAGACACACTATAATGATACAGCAGTAAGTTATATAGACTCTGAATTCATTGATTGGTAATAAAAACTTGTAAATGTCCATACAGACACACTATAAAGCAACAGCAGTAAGTTATATAGACTTTGAATTCATCGATTGGTAATAAAAACTTATATATGTCCATACAGACACACTATAAAGATACAGCAGTAAGTTATATAGACTCTGAATTCATTGATTGGTAATAAAAACTTATATCTGTCCATACAGACACACTAAAATGATACATCAGTAAGTTATATAGACTCTGAATTCATTGATTGGTAATAAAAACTTATATCTGTCCATACAGACACACTATAATGATACAACAGTAAGTTATATAGACTCTGAATTCATTGATTGGTAATAGAAACTTATATATGTTTCAGGACAATTGTAGAGCGTCATATAACGAACAAGCAAATGACTTTTTATTTGATGTCGTACTGAGCCAAGCTATACGGTGTAAAACACGTATAATAATTGTTTAGACCACCTCTATAGACAAATATTACCTTGAACTAAGTGACCTGCATAGTAAAGAATTTAAAACGACATTTTTCCTGTATCAAATTTGCATTTATTTTTATTTTTATGCAAGTGTCAAATTTTACTTGCGATTGATCAACACAGCTCCAAACTTGTTCCACTGCATGAAGGGAGTTATCTCCCTTGTACCTTTACATTAGGGCTGTCAAATGTCTAAATGTATTTATCAGTAATTAAGTTATAAATCTGCGATAAATTGAATTAATTAGATTAATGTAAAGTTTGTTCCACCAAATGTATATATCTCAACAACTATGTAATCGTTATAACAATTTTTGATACACAATTGACTCTACACATGTAAAGCCTGTAATGCTCGTTTGTAGCGTCATAATTATAATCTATTAATACATAACGAGGAATTATGGGTAAGTTCCCTTAAACTGAAACGTCCCTATTAGACTAACGACTGGAACTCGTCAGATATACATGTACATGTGTTTGCTGCAGTTTGGTATGTTTGTTACAGTTATTAATAATTACATTGTTTTGTTTTCTTAAAACATTGAGATATTTTTCACCTTAAAAATCTAATTTTATTCTGAATGTTTTTTTCTACTTTCGTTTCTGAGTACTATTTTATATATCGTGTCTTAAAAATCAGCCTTGTTTACTTTTGATATGCAAGAATATTATCTCGATAATATTTGTAATTTTGCAAATTATTGATATTTGTTTTCTTAGTTATAGTTAGGTCATTGGCATTGATGTTAATTTAGCATTCAAATTTTCTACTTTCGTTTTTGAAAAATATTAGCTTTATTTTTATGGATTTTATCAACAATATTTTAAAGTTATACACTACATCGATCAGTAACAACTTCTCAATAGAGAAAAAAAACACGCTTGTAAATGTCTATGCTACTAATTATATAGTTACTGTCTGGTCTGTTTATGGTGTTGCCTTGTACAATACCAGGTACAATACTTTGATCAGGTTGAGATATTCCAAATAAGATATAGAGGTAACCTTTGACTGTAACCTTTGACTGACCTTTGACTGTAACCTTTGACCGCACCTGTTTGTCCACGTACACAACTATAGTAAACCAGACAGCCGGAATAGCCTGGGTGATGTATGGTGTTTACATTTCAGGGAGTAAAAATAAATAAATTACAGACAATTGTCCCATATATTTCCCAATTAAGTACAAAGCATGGTCCACAAAAGTTTCAAAATATTTGAACTGTAAGCTGCTTTACCTGAAGATCTAAGACTTTAAAGATGTCGGTTTTTGTGTGTGAAAACCGATCTCTCTAGTAAACTCTTCCAACGGGTTGTACATTGATGTAAAATATGTATATATAAAACATGCGTGACGTGTCTGGCAGGGTATGGCACACGGGAACAAACCCAATGGAGTTGCTATATAGGTCACGCTTAGCGTCCCGGTATTGTATCGCGTTAAAACTTCATGTTGGAATGTAGTTGATCACTTTCATAAAATACCATGATTGTTATTATATATTCGGGTATAAAATACCATGATTGTTATCATATATTCGGTTATAAAATACCATGATTGTTATCATATATTCGGGTATAAAGAGGAGAAGTAACAGTATTAAACAAACCAGTGTAAAGGATAGAAGTCTGGTAATGTAAAGGTGGCAGTAGCTTAGTAATTAAGATGATATGTTTTAATTTTTAGCTCTTTTTTTTCCAAAATAATTGGCAAATGGTAGGTTTAGGAAATGTTAATAAGCCTTTTCCATTTTTTCCACTCATTCTGGATGTTAATGAGATATTTTTTGTCTTTAACATTTGCAATATGTTTTGAATATTGTAATGCTCTTTAATTGAACTTTTAATTCCTTGAATGGATAAAGGCACTTTAAGACATCTTGCCTTGTATATATATTATTTTATTATTAAAATAATACTATTGTCACCTTTATTTAGTCCATTACAGTTATACAAACCAAATAGAAATGTTTGTTTATTAAAATCAAATTGAATAATTAATACATCTAATAATAACTCAAAATTTTGTAAATGATTTTGTACTTTGTCCCATTCCCATAATACATGATCTATTGTCTCTATTTCTATGCTACACAGTTCACAGTACACTTTATCCTGTTTTGATTAGTTATTTTATCCCCATTTTCTTTTTCTATTTTTGGAATTATTTTTGAAGTATAGTTTCTGTTTTCGAGATTAAAAAAAAAAGTTATTTGGTTTTTCTCCTTCTTCAGCCCATTTAGCCTTTAGATCTTATAATGTTATCTCTTAATTGATGTAATCTAATATTTTCTAATTATTGTTTTTTCTCCTTTAATTTACCGAAGTCAATATTTTCACCCGATTCTTAATGTTTTATAGTATCTTTTAAATTGTTTTCTAAAAGGTTACGTTGTTTTTTCTTATGTGAAGCATATGAAACAGTTTTCCTTCTAATTTCTATTAATAATGTTTCTAAAAACAGCTGATCATCTATAAGGAATTGTATCTCCGAGTCCAGAATATTGGATATATTGTGTAGATTATAAACTAGAAGAGCATATTGGATTTTAATGTCTAAAATAGTTTTGTTTGTAATTTTAAGATAGTCTAAATCATGAAATAAAGAATTGTTAAACTTCCATAGTCCTTTCCCCTTCTTAAACACGTTAAACTTCAATACAATAAATGGTATAGAAAGGTCAGATCTGTATCCTGGCTCAATATATATATTTTTTTACACCAGGTTATTAGTTGTCAGAAACGAGAAAAAAATCTTACCGTGCTTGCTTTATTGGATTACTTCTTCTCCATGTATATCTTTTATTATCAGGAATCTGTTCCCTATAAACATCAACCATTCCTAACTCTTCTATTATTGATATTTTCTCTAGCTGTTTGATTACTGATATTTTCTTAACTTTTATTATAATCATTTTCAGGGTTTAATACTAAGTTAAAATCTCCACATATTATAAAACATTCATTTTTAAAAGTATCTATTGATTCTACTATGTTGCAATAAAAAGATGGAGTATCTGAATTTGGCCCATAGATATTTATAACTGTAATTTGTTTCCCTTCTATTTCTAAATCTAATGCTATAAAATTCCCAGTCAAATCCTTTTTAACCTTTAATACATTTACCTCAAAATTGCTATTAAATAGTATAGCAACCCCCCTCGAATTTGACCTCAGAGAGTTAAAGTAACAATCATATACCCACTCTGTCCTAATTATTTCTTCAATTTCTGGAGTAGAAAGAGTATCTTGTATACAATAAATATTAAAATCTTTACACCTTAAATATAGAATAAAAATCATTTCTCTTGGTTTTATCCATTAATTCCCTGACAATTTACCGATAATATTCTGATACCTTCCATTAACCGGGATATGTGCAAGGCCTACTGACTGGAACAACTAGTCTTGCAGCTGAGATAGAAAATAGAAGAAGGGTAAGACATAGAAAGAGGAAGAAGAAAGGCAAATAGAATAAATAAAATGTTACACAAAAATTGGGATTTGTATACAACTTAATTATATAAGAAAAAACCTAGTTTGGCCATCTCCATATCCATAAGTGAACGTACACCTATAAACTTTTCACTTCATATCATAGATAATCTCAATGAAGTCGCCCACCGATCGTAGGGTTCTTTATACTGATGCTAATAAAAGTGTCATTGCAAAAAACAACTATTATATACCAATGCAAAGGGATTTGTTGTTGTTTTTAAAACAGAAATTTTGTAAATTTGTGTAAAAATAATATTAAACTGATCTCGTATGAACTTATAATAAATCTACATGATATTTTCTTCAATGCAATTTGAATGCCTGTCGATATCATGGTGTATGTTACTTCATGTTACCCACACAATGTGTTACCATATGGCTGTTCCCATAATGTTGTTTATGTCACAGCATGACTGTTCCCATCATATTGTGTATGTTACTACATGACTGTTCCCATCATGTTGTGTATGTTACTACATGACTGTTCCCATCATGTTGTGTATGTTACTACATGACTGTTCCAATCATGTTGTATATGTTACTACATGACTGTTACCATCATGTTGTGTATGTTACTACATTACGCTTCCCATCATGTTGTGAATGTTACTACATGACTGTTCCCAGCATGTTGTATATGTTACTACATGAATGTTAACATCATGTTGTGAATGTTACTACATGACTGTTCCAATCATGTTGTATATGTTACTACATGAATGTTAACATCATGTTGTGAATGTTACTACATGACTGTTCCCATTATGTTGAGTTTGTTACTACATGACTGTCCATTATGTTGAGTTTGTGTTACTACATGACTGTTCCCATTATGTTGAGTTTGTTACTACATGGCTGTTCCATCATGTTGAGTTTGTTACTACATGGCTGTTCCATCATGTTGTATTTGTTACTACATGAGTGTTCCCATCCACAACATGATGGGAACAGTATTGTAGTAACATTCACAACATGATGTTAACATTCATGTAGTAACATATACAACATGCTGGGAACAGTCATGTAGTAACATTCACAACATGATGGGAAGCGTCATGTAGTAACAAACTAAACATAATGGGAACAGTCATGTAGTAACATACATAACATGATGGGAACAGTCATGAAGTAACAAACACAACATGATGGTAACAGTCATGTAGTAACATACCCAACATGATGGTAACAGTCATGTAGTAACATATACAACATGATTGGAACAGTCATGCAGTAACATACACAACATGATGGTAACAGTCATGTAGTAACATACATAACATGATGGGAACAGTCATGAAGTAACATACACAATCTGATTGGAACAGTATTGTAGTAACATACACAACATGCCTGTTCCCATCATGTTGAGTTTGTTACTACATGGCTGTTCCATCATGTTGTATTTGTTACTACATGAGTGTTCCCATCCACAACATGATGGGAACAGTATTGTAGTAACATACACAATATGATGGGAATAGTCATGTAGTAACATACACAAAATGATGGTAACAGTCATGTAGTAACATACATAACATGATGGGAACAGTCATGAAGTAAAATACACAATATGATGGGAACAGTCATGCTGTGACATAAACAACATTATGGGAACAGCCATATCATACACAACATGATGGGAACATTCATGTAGTAACATACACAATATGATGGGAACAGTCATGTGGTAACATACACAATCTGATTGGAACAGTATTGTAGTAACATTCACAACATGATGTTAACATTCATGTAGTAACATATACAACATGATTGGAACAGTCATGCAGTAACATACACAACATGATGGTAACAGTATTGTGTATGTTACTACATGACGCTTCCCATCATGTTGTGAATGTTACTACATGACTGTTCCAATCAGATTGTGTATGTTACTACATGACTGTTCCCATCATGTTATGTATGTTACTACATGCCTGTTCCCATCATGTTGTGTATGTTACTACATGACGCTTCCTAGCATATGG